TATTTTAAAACAGTATACTGATCGTTTGTTAACTACCAGTGATACTTTATTGTTTACATCCAAACGTGAAATGCGCGGGGATCGGGGGATGTGAGAATTACTCCACAACCTAGCGCACGCGAACAGCTAGTGAGCGTGCTGCACGACCCGTGCACGTAAATAAACCCTGGCCAACCCAATGTGTAAGGTTCACTACCACTGGCCAAAAGTAAGCTCCACCCACTTCTTATCGATTTTTGGTATGCCAACGCTGCTACTGGATTCAGGAACCTGTGCGTCCGAACATCCCACGCACGTTTGATTGCACTGGGCAGTCAATAATATGCAGTGGGCATTGTTTACATGTATGTCACGGTTTATCACGGATTAGTTTTCAAATAAATATCCCTGGAAGCTAATATGCATGAACAGATTTCTACAGGTAACAGTTTCTCAGTGTTTCGAATATTCGGTGATCAAATAGCTGTAGGATCAGCGGGCCTGTTGTATCAAGAAGCTGTAGGCCCGGCATCGAAACTGTCGGCGGCGGGCCGACGGGCCGACGTGAATTTCGAACACTGAGGACAACTGTGAGTTAACGTTCATATTTCAAACAAGGCAAGTCAAAGGTGGTAATAGAATATTTTTTATGAGATAGAATAGTTTTATTTGAGATATACAGAGTTATTCATCTAGATCTGCAGAGGTGATAGGTTTTTTGCATGGAAGGATGTCAGGCTGTATAGACAATCCGTCGCACAGCCTGGTCGGGCTAGGATCTCTATTACTTTATACAAGTTCTCATTAATAAAGTATACGAGCATGGTCTTGGAAGAAACTAATAGCATCATCACGTAACCGTGTCAACACGAAGCCAACAAATAAAATTATAATTGTCGCAAATTTAAGTGAATCGCTGTCAGTCTATATCTGATAATAATTCGAACTGAGCTGGCAGCAAATTGCTTTTTTTTTTCACTCAGAAAGCATCGCAGAACAGCACTAAATAAGCACTGCTTATAGTTACTGATAGTGATAGCAAACCAAAGGTTTAGTGATTCATTTGTAATACTATGTGTTACGCTAGCTGAAAGTGAGATCATGTTTTGAAACTCAGTGAGCCACACGTTTTTGTATAGCGAGTTTGAAAAGGTATTTCGATGTATGACAGTTTTTTAGAGCTAGTCACCACTTTGCCATATGCACTCAGGGGTAGGACTCCCTGCCCTCAAAAAGAGGGAGTCCGCAGTCTGAAGTTCAAAACTAAAGCATAACAACAATAATGCACGTGCTTATTTTGAAGATTCGCGATTCATGCGATGTACGTCTGCCAAATTTTCTTTGGGCATTTGCTGAAAAAATACGGTAATTCGCGAGGCCGTGCTCTGGAACAAACTACTACTAGTACTAGTTAGTATAACAGAATTTTCAGGAAGTCACACGGACTCTTGCATATGTCAAATCAGGGAGTTCGACAGTAAATCAGGGAGTATTTGACTCCGGACTCGCGTTAATTTCGCGACCTGTGCACTGATGTTTTTTTTTACCAACAGTGCTACCAAGCTGCTATTTACCGTAATTTACTAAGACAAAATCAATAAATGGCTAAAATCTAGTTGCAAGTGCAATCACAATGCCAATGCCATGGATTCATGTATGATGTACCACCAAGGCCTTGTAAAACAGGAAGGAGAAAGAAGTTATATTCTACCAAAGTATGGATGTTTGTTAATTGACGTTACGAAATTTGAAATTTAAACATGGGGTGTAGACACACTGATGTCATCACGACACACTAGTGTGTACGTACCTAACCTAGCTCTAGTACTATAGCCGCTTACATTAACTGCCGCTGGCGGTTAGTTGCCAGCGGCAGTTAATGTAAGCGGGCTATAGTACTAGAGCTATACCTAACCAGTGTAAGCAACGTAGGTCCTGACGATGGGGAAAGAGTGATCACAACGTACATTTAAATCGCGCTGTTAAACACTTAATTTCGCCTTAGTTACTTAAATATTTCTTACCCCAACACTTCCAGCCGACATTCTTGTTAAACTACAACTAATTTCGGTCGTTGATCTACCGACGTTAGTATGAAATTATGAAAATTTTTCCAGGAATTCTTACTAACGATATAACCGACTTTTTCTCCTGGCCAATCAGTGTCGTAGCCTAATGCGCAATGCATTTTGGGTAAGCAGATAACCCTAGTTATATTAAAAAACGTATTAAAAGATGTATTATCTTAATATTTACTTGTAAATCTTATTTTTGTCAATATTAATTTTGATTATTTAATATTATATTAAACTAAATATTAATATTATACAATGAAGATTCATACCACTACTGTGCCGACTCTGCGTTTCCCATGAACTCACTGTAAACAAACAAAATGGCGGACCACGAAGAAGCCAACCAAGTTGGAACAAAGATTCAAAGATTCAATGATTCAGGATGTTTATTTTGTGCAACTCCTAACATAGATATGGTAAGATGATAGTTAATGTAGTGGTTGTTATGTTTCCTTTATTTTTTTATGTTCAATTTTTGTGTGTAGTTCTATGCTAGATCGTGGTCTTAAAACGCACAGGCACTTGGAAGGGGCGCAAATCCACTTTAGGCACCTTGGGTATCACGAAGTGATGCACAGATTTCTGTGTATCACCAACTGATGCACAGACTTTCCGTATATCAAAGAATGATGCAAAAACCCTAACCCTAACCCTAAGTCATAAAGTATAACCTTAGTTATAGGCTTAGGTATCACGAAGTGTGTTACTCACTGTTAGGGTTAGGGCTAGGGTTAGGGTTAGGGTTTTTGCGTCGTTCCTTGATATACGGAAAGTCTGTGCATCAGTTGGTGATACACAGAAATCTGTGCATCACTTCGTGATACCCAAGGTGCCTAAAGTGGATTTGCACCCTTGGAAAGTTGGAGCGTTTCAATAAAATATAACGTTGTTGCTGCTGCAACGGTACCGTCGCCGATTTTTTTTCTCTTAAAGTCACGGTACTGACGCCTGATTGGTTGATAAGCGCAACGAGCGCTACCTGTCGTCAAAAAGAAAATAATGCGTTAGGGTTAACTTAGGGTTAGGGTTAGGGTTAGGGTTAGGGTTAGGGTAACCCGACCAGGCTGTGTGACTAACGTCAATACACCGCCTGACATCCATCCATTGAAAAATCTTGTAGCTGTACAAAAACTACCGAACAATTACGTATATCTCAAATAAAATGATCATCTAAGCATTTCTGCCTTGTTTTGTATCAAATATAACCTTCA